ATATATATATATATATATTGCTATTACACTCCGCTCAACGAAGTAAGCATAGAGATAACCAATCAGCATCACGGAAAAGCGGCAACAAATAATTTCGAGAAATGCGAGTTATCGATTAACATACCTTTTTTAGATAGAGAATTTTTCCATAGCTACGTATAGTATAGCTACGAGTTATGATAATATTATGAATTTTAATTAAACACGCATCACTTCCTCGTTCACTCGATATCGCATTTCCTGTTCTTAAAACAATTATCGAGCATTTATCTGTTTGCAAAAACAATTATTCATGCGCAATACTGCATTATTTGAGTTTCAAGCGAAGTAAGCAGATATTTCATTGAATAAATATATCCAATTAATTTGCAGCATAGGCAAGTCATTTCACAAATTTATTTTTGCACATATAATAGATTTAAAAAGTTAAATAAAATTAACTTTTGTTTGTGGGTGGGACATATGAACGTATTCGGTAAACATTTGTACGCACAGCAATCAACAATCTTTTGTTTCTATATTACTGATTTTCAAACTCTATTTGCGTAGTGTTGCTCGACATTTCGTCGATAAATTTGTTTTGCATCGCGCTGTCGTGTGCATCTATTTTCGTGTGACAGGGTTCCAGTCCGATCGGCGCGTTACATATTCCAAGCGACGTGCACGATCGGAATGGAAATTGTATCAGGTGCGATTAAGGTGCGTGAAAGGAGCAAGGATACCTATTTCCAAGGACAGATTGCCTATCGATGCTGGGGCAACCGTGTATCTCGTTGCTGCTTCGAACAGAAAACAGTTATGCAATACCTCTCGGATTGGGAGTTTCGTTGTTGCATTCCTACGTGAAGTGCCACACAGACCAAAGCCAGCGTTTATAATATTAGTAGCAAAGAGCGCGCAAAGTGAAGTATTTGTGTCTGTAAAACAATGCTAATTCGTCATATATTACAATACCGCAACATGCCGTTTCCTCGTTCGCTGATTACCTTGAAATCGTTATTAGCTTTACGCAAATCGCGTGGCTGCTGGCCATTATGAGAATAAATGTGAATATTCAGTTTCAATTTTAATTTCACAGTCCATAATCATTTGCCGATATCCTCCGCGATAGAAATCGCGTCTGACATAACGAGGTCTGTTAATTCAGCCGATCCGAAGTGTACGTTGCAGTTAAAGAGATGAATTATAGTTGAAATTTTAATTACGAATTGTAATTTTTGTCACTACGAATAGGCAAATATTAGCGATAGTTACATACACGTTTTTTTTTAATCTATTAATTTATTTTTATGTTTTTACTTTTTGAAGGAGTAAATATACAACAAAAGTTATTCATCTTTACGAGTGAATTTATCGACTGACGAAATTGATATTGAGTATCCAATGAAAATTGATGCTCTGAATGAACATTGACTGAATCATGACGATTGACAAAGCCGAAATGCCGGGACAATTCGTGAAGGTGTCGGCCCCGAATTTCGAACCATCGGAACGATGGCGAATTATGAAGAACATTCTAGCGATTAGTTGCTCTTTCATGGTGCACTTCACTGCTTTCATGGGAGCCGCAAACTTACAGAGCTCTATCAATGCAAATGAATCGCTAGGCACGTTCACATTGTCGGCGATTTATGGCAGTCTACTCTTCAGCAACATTTTTCTACCTGCCTTAATCATAAGGTAAAGTTTAAGTAATTTTGCTTACATACATATTCTTGCCATTCATATCGTTTGGTATAATTTCGCGTTTAGATCCAAACTCGATAAATGGTTCGACGACAATAGCGATTCAGCAATATTTTTCGGCGAATGCTCTAGAATATTGCCATGATTTTGCATCTCGGGTCAAATGGAGAGCCGTCGTCAAATCTGATTGCCGTTACTTGTTATCGCGGTAGAATGAATAGAAAGTTTTTGGGAAACGTATATTGTCAATTATGACAGACGCCGGAAATGTTCGATGTGTTTCCCATACATGAGAAACACGGACGGCTCGAGTTCTACGCACGCAGTCCCACGGCACTAAACTTTATTACGTGTTGTCGTTTTCACCTTGGCCCGGAATTACGTTACATGGAACCCCCGCGGGTTCCGGCATTAGACAAGAGTGAAACGAACATATCTAGGTATCTGCGCGAGGATTCAGTATGACATCTTCCTACGTCAACGTAGGATGATGTGAAAAGCCTTTGGTATACCGTCTAATATATATTAATGTGTTTGCTTCTTTTTGTTATATTAATTTTTATTATTTAACTTAATTTAATTGTTTGTTTTGTTTAAACTTTTGATACATTAAAAGAACGATATCTTATTAATTGATTGATTTTTTTAAATTAATTAATTTGGATCTAAATAGATTTAATTAACAGATAAAGGATAATATATAGTTATTTCATTTGCATTTATGTAATTTTATTCCAGTTGGTTCGGATGCAAGTGGACAATGTCGATTTCTATGTTGGCTTACATGCCTTTTATAGCTTCGCAATTTTATCCGAAATTTTACACTATGATCCCCGCTGGATTATTAGTCGGATTGGGCGGTGGACCGCTCTGGTGTGCAAAATGTACTTATTTAACTGTGGCGGCAGAAGCCTATTCGACCGTTTCAGATATAGCCGTGGATGTCCTTGTCACAAGATTCTTCGGTCTTTTCTTCATGTTTTATCAAATGGCGCAGGTGTGGGGGAATCTTATATCTTCAGCAGGTGGGTCACTGTACGGATATACGGCTTATGGACATGTGTGCGACAGTCAAATTTGTATTTCAGGGATTAAACGTGTGGAGAAAGTTATTATTATTCATATTATTTATATTATTCGACTTGGACAACATTCCGTTTGCAAATGTTAATTTTGATGACGTAAGAATGAATCTATAATTGCTCTACGATGTCTTATATAATAAGAAGTTGTCATTGTGAATACGAACGAACTATAAAATAATTTTATTTCTTATAATATATGCAAGTATTTAGAGTTGCATAATTATTTTCTAAATTTAATTTATTAATTTTTGTTCTAATTTTTGTATAATGCAATTCGATTTTTCTTTGCTTTTAGAATACGAATAAAACTATGAAAACGATTTAATCTACTAAAATAATAATTATATATATATATATAATATAGAAAACAAACATTTTTTTTAAGTGAGAAACGATATGAATTTTTTATTTGCGACTTTAGATAGAATATATTTTTGCTGTAATTATTAAATTATCTCCCAGTTTAAGACAGAATTGTAAACGATTATAAAATTACGAACTGGAACGAAGTGACACAGAAAAACTTTGCCTTACAGTCTGTGCAATCTTTGCGGAAGCGTGTATGAATGCGTCGTTGCTAAGCTATAAAAACGCGAGCGCCGATGAAAACGAAATTAAGTTTCTACCGCCGCGAATGACGAGATTGTGAAACAACGAACGCAAGCTGCGCAGTAAACTAGAGTTTCGTCAGGCATTCTAATGGCCATATTTTGTTTTATTGAAACATATATTTCAGTATGCCTACTTGATATGCCTAAAAGAATTATCGGCATGATGATTAATAGAAGCTCTATTTTTATAACGTTTGTCATTCTTATAATTTTTTAATACGATTGAAAATTTCGTGGCAAGCATATTTTTGTAGAAATGATTTAAAATGATTTCGTTATTATTGGTAATCAATTATCGTCTTTTTTATTTTTCTTAATGTTTTCCTTGCAGTTCTTTCGTACGGAATTAACACGATTGTCACAAACGTGACCTTGAATAGTAGCGTTGTGGCCGAAATATGCGGGGTCAATTTCTGCGGGGTATCTGCGGAAAATGAAAATCCGAATCTGGAGCGACCTCCGGTCGAACGAATATACCTCATTTCTGGAATTTATTTAGCTTGTATGATATTAGCTTGTCTAATAATTGCGTTCGCCGTCGATTCCTTAACCAGGTATAATCCCGTGTTTGTAATTCGCGATTCTCATTGTCAGATAGACTTTGAAATATTTATATTAAATAACAAATTAGATTCGCGCGTACTATATAACGCGCGTTTTATATATACTGTTTAAGAAATTTCTTGATTCTTGGAATTCCCACTTTATAGGTACGATAGAAACAGAGCTCGCTTAGTGAAAGGATCGTCCGGATTCAAGCTCTTGGCCGTGACATTAAAACTATTGAAAGAGAAGAAGCAACTTTTAATATTGCCGATAACGATGTTTATTGGGGCCGAACAAGCGTTTTTATTTGCCGATTATAACGCAGTTAGTAATCTATATATGAGAGAGAAGAATTTAAGAAATGAAATTCTTTGTCCATGTTGATAATAAGAGGAGAATTTTTCTTATATAAGGGAGCGATAATGTTCTATATTTATTACAGTCGTTCGTTTCCTGTGCTTGGGGGATTAGTAATATTGGTTTCGTGATGATATGTTTCGGTATCACAAATGCCATAGCTGCACTCGCTACGGGAGCCATCGTGAAATTGACTGGAAGGAAGCCCGTGATGATTTTCGCTTTTTGTTTGCACTTAAGTATTTTCATTTACATGTTGCAATGGAAACCGACACCAGAGCAGGGTATTATCTTCTTTCTGCTGTCGGGTTTATGGGGTGTGTGCGATTCGATCTGGCTAGTGCAAATCAATGGTAAGAAAAATCAATAAGCCGCAGAATCAAATATAGTCGCTTATTATTGACTATTAATTTTATACAAAAAAATTTATATATCCCATATTGTTAATAATTGCAAAATTATTGCGTGACGGTCATTTAAGTCGAATTCCCTAGTTTACTCGTTGTGCATAAAATCGTACCGACCGAACATCTCTGTTGATGGTATTATATCAACCAATAATAATAATAACAAAGTCTATTTTTGTATGCTTTTATTTTGCTTTTTTAGAAAGAATTAACTATATTAATAAATACATCTCACAAATTCAATATGTAACAATTAACAAACGATTACTCGCGATTTTCAGCATTAAGTGGTTTATTATTTCCTGGTCAAGAAGAGGCAGCTTTCTCAAATTTCCGCTTGTGGGAGTCCACTGGTTCAGTGATAACGTACGTGTACAGCCCATATCTGTGCACTTATATGAAACTGTATCTTTTAATCGGAATACTGTGCGTTGGAATGGTTGGTTACGGTGCTATCGAGTGGTTAGGCATTCAGACAGACAGAGCTGTTTCCGAGGACAAGCCTGATTTTGAATTAATGAATGCTAGAGAGATCAATCGATAAGTATAAGAGTAGGTAACGTTTTTTTCAGTTGACGGAATTGTAGGAAATACGTCGAAATTTTCATCTTTCGATACATTATCAAAAAGTATCAGAAATAAAAAAAAAACTTTTAATAGAAAAATATATTTGATGAAAAATTTCTAAAACGCGCCTAAAGTACTTTTCAATCATTTTTCGTTTAATTCTGTCCTTAAAATTCATAAGGAATAAATTGCAAAGTCTACTAAATGTACCTGAAATTACTAAAATTAGGAATTATTAAAATAAGAAGAAATTCTTTAAAATACTGTCAAGAAGACGAGATTTAAGATAAAATCTGGTTTGATAACTTAGGATCGATATCACGTTATACAAATGCAAATAAAATTACAAAAATATCATGCATACGGTACAATGATTTTCGTCTGAAAATCAAATGATTCGTAACTGCGAATAGTCATAGGTACGACCTTTTGTTATTTGTACCACAATATATGTTTTTATTTTATTTTTGTGGACACCTACTAAATTTTACACAGGTATTCGCTTAACGGCTAAGATTTTTCTTGTCCTTCATTTTAAATACGTAATTTTAATGTTACATCATGTGTGCCTAGGTGCTAACATTCAAGCTAAAGCTACGGCTGCTTAGTTTAATTGTATACTTATGTGCTTAATTGCCGACTGTGTGCTTATTTCGTTACCAAGATCAATTGATTCCCGCCTTCGGGCGAAGGCGGATCACCGAGTTGCGTGTGGTTTTCCCATAGTCGACCGACAGTTTTTTCCGAATATAGCGGCAATATCGAATCAATTGATCGGCGAATTGTAGTTTAGCGTCGTTAAATTGCTGATTGTATCGTGATTATTAGCTTAACTTTGCATTCATCATATTTACAATTCAAGTTCTGCAGTTCAGTTATATACTTTATAAAACGTAGTAGGAACTTTGGTTTCGCTGGGCAATGTTTCATGAGCAGTTTCCTCTTATTGATTTGTAACTTTATTTCGTGTCCCGACGTGGCTCTTTTTAAGGGGTATTCATTTCTTCTTTATTACACGCAGTTATATGAAGTATCTACCCGTTCTCTTGTTTCTGTATCTATTTTTTATTTACGAAAATTACCGAACAAGACGAACAATTCGGAGCTGGAAACTGCTATAAAACATTCGCCCGTGGATCTATCTTCCTTAATATGACACTCACGAATACAATTCACATTTTTTTTGTAATACTCATGTTTATATTTTTTGTAAGGATCTATTTGAATATTTCAATTTCACGAAGAAAATACACATAATTCTTAAACCGTCTTCGCGTTTTTATTTTTATCACTACTGCGGATCTTTCGACGCTCTGCTCTCTCTCTCTCTCTCTCTCTCTTTCTTTCTTTTTTTCCTACAGGATTAAATATAATTTCAGGAGCGGCATGTGGTATATAATCGTTTATAGCATACTTTCAAAGACGTTATTGCATTATTTAGTCGCTAAAGGAATTTCATTGATTTCTAGATACACTTGTAATTTACAGATCTTGCGCGCACCAAAAACTCGACCGATTTCTTACGACAGAAATATTATCGTGCTCGTTATAACAGTGTATATATATGTAAGGGATGATAATATAATCAATAGAGACGATGATTTTATTTTGTATTTGTTATTTAAGCGATACTTTTATTTGCGCAACTCTCAACGAGCGACAACGATATCTCAGGATCGCCCGCCGATCGCAGGACACAGTCGCAGTTTTTATTACGCGCGGAAGATTATCACCCTTCGAGTGTTTCCATTTTTGAGTGCATTTTTCGATTGTTCCGCCAGTCGATTAGGAATCAATTGTACGTTGTAGTTGTTCAAACGTTCGCCGCTTACGTGCTAGCATTCTTGTAAGTAACCGTTTTAAAGTTTGTGTAGCTAAATTTTTTTTCATTAATTATTATTCGTGCGACGATTTACATATCTTTCCGCCCGGTTTTGACAGATCGTATTCCGAGAAACGTATGTGTTCCGATCAAATGTTGAAATTAAATCAAGCAACTGTAATTAATTGGAAAAGCCTGGAAGCGAATTTTCTGTAGTTGCTTGTGACAAACTGTTCACTGTTATAATTTCGATCGTTGAGGCATTCACGTCCATCGGGCTCGTTAATGCTTACCAATTGCCGATAGTCCGTTCGTTCGAGACTCGAAACTGGATCAGTTAGTGTTTCCCGGTAGATATATATCTATGAAAATTGGAAGCGCGCGACGGATTGGTACCAAATGAGAGACAACGATTTCAGATTATCAATTTTCGATATTCGACTCATGTATACATCACATATTCGTAGATTAAAGCTATTTACATATATAGATGTCGTATACACCTGCGATCACAATATTCGAAGGACCTTCGCTTCGATCTAGAACTATCATTTTCCGTGCCGGAGCGAAATTTGATAAATGTGGCTTTCTTTAGTAAACGCTTAACTTCTCTTACCTATTCCGTAACAAATACGGAAAGTTGTTCTCGCGTCAGAACTGTTTATTTATGCTAGGAGGAAAACGCGATAATGGAAAAATTTTACGAAACGTGTTCTTCATCGTCCGTAGCCTGAAGCTGTTCTCATATGCTTCCCGATTGCTCGGTAGATGTAGTCCTTCCCTATACAACGCCCTTCGACATCATCCGCACCGTATTCTTCAGAGCTTGTCTCTTGTTGCAGAACCAGATTCTTATCACCTCCCTATCGTATCCTAATCGATGCGCTAAAGTCGTGATTTCGTTACCTGTAAAAAAAAAGGACAGAAACTTTCAATGTGTTTAAATGCGCGAGATTCAGCTCCGAAGAAAAATTAATAAGATTCTTCTAATAGAGCAAAAGACTTAATCATACATAACAGATAGATACGTAGAGCGAAACTAACCAGTAGGATGAGTGTTCCTGTCGAAATGTGCGTTCAGCAATTCCAAAGCCTGGGGCGTAAAGGAGGTCCGCCGTTTCCGCTTCTTGCTCGGTTCGACTCCGATGAAGTCCGTCAGATGATTAACGCCGCTCTTGTACCTGGAATCAGATGCACTACTCTTGCTCAAATTCGGAAGATTGCATCATCGGCGTTTATTGTTAATATTACCGCCACGCGCTATACTTTCGTGAAAATATATATAGCATATCCTATTTTAAATAAGTTTAATTAATGGATTATGTAAAATGGGAGCTTATATATATATATATATATATATATGCATGCATGCGTCTCTGTTTGCTATGATTATGAATCGCGAAATAGGATCTCGTTTAAAAGTCTGACCGGTTAATCGTCATGTTTTTACAATAATTAATTACGTCCGTGAGTCTACATCGAGCTCAAAATTTCTCCTGTGGTTTATGAAATATTGTTATAAATCCAATATGAAAAAAAATTCTGTTTACTGTTTTGCACGTTCGTAATTACGTTAGCGCGAAATAGGATACTGATTAAAAAAGGAAATCACCGGCGTCACGATATTCGTGCTCGGACACGTTCGGTCGCAAATACCCCGTCCGGTATTGGATTTTTTTCCCGAGTACACACTCGGGTTGATTCACGAGTCGAACTTACTCCACGTATCGCGAAACAGAACTCGCGGTGGCGGTGGCAGCGACGGGTGTCGGCGTCGACTCAAATAAAATTAGCGATCGAATAGCCGCGGCGCTTTCAAACTCGAACTTTCATTTCATTCGTTATCCAAGCTCATCGAATCCCGCGCAATCTCTGTGTTCAGACATCGTCCGTTTCCACAATTCTTAAATATTAAGAAGATGCTAGCAAGTGCTTCGATTTTGTCATACATTTTTATTATTATCAATGACACTATTTATTATTCTTCAAGGGTATTATAGTCGTAAAATTTTTATAAAATTAAATCAGATATTTTTGTAAGATTTATTTGCAAGCATGAATAAATTTTTATATCTGATGTGTTTGCTCAAGTATAATATCCTTATCAAAGAACAAAAGGGTTAAATGCGGATTGATACAAAATTTTAAATAATTGCATTTTGATTGTCGAACGATGAAATCAACATTCATTATTTTTCAGTCATTTTCTAATTAAATTACTGCAACATATTAATTGTAATAACTAAGTATGAACTTATAATTGCGTGAAGAATCAGTGCTCTTTATGCCGTCTGATATCGTCTTACATTATTTCATATTCAGATCGATTTGGTCCAAGTGACTTAAAAGAAATTTACATCAGAAAGGATCCGATCTCGAGAGTCTCGAGTCGAGAGTACGCAAACTTTTTTGGCGTCGCGCGGCCAGTCGACATAATTTCATTTGAGGGATAGTATTATCGGGTGGCGCGGTGCGGGGCGCGACATGGAAAAAGCTCGCGGTCGCGACAGTAAACAGGAGAACTTCCGTTGGGACTCCCGGGTGAGCGATGAGAAGCGGGTACGGTGCGGCAGCAGGGTCGGGGAGCCCGATGGCGGGTACGGTCATAGGTACGGTCGCGGTGCCGGCTCAAAATTTATGTTTTTAATTTAACTCCGAATGACCAACTGTCGAGTCGAAAAAAGTACACGGCGGGCCATTAGCATCGCGCGGTAATATTTCGTCGAATTCGCGAAAACAATATGCTAATGGAGAAGTCGGTGAGAGCGCGAAGAACCGACGCGACGCGACGCGACACGACGCGACGCGACACGATGCGACGCGACGCTTCGACGGGGTTCGGATGCCACGTTGTTGGTATGCGTTGGTGACCGGTGAGCGCAATGGAGAAGCAATGCCAGGCACAAGAAGGGGTGCCGGCAGAGGAAGGTGAAGAAAGAGGAGAGAAATAAACGTGAGTTAATACGCAAGGGAATGTGAAAGCTGCGTGTAAGCTCGTGCGTGGGTGTTACACGTCGTTGTTGCGTATAGGTGTGGGAAGAGGGAGAGGGGAGCGCGAAAAGGAAGAAGAAAGACGGAAACACAGACGGAAGGTGGAGGAATGGAGGCTGCGTGAGCAGCGGAAGGAATGACAGAGAGAGGCGTCGCGCCGCTCCGCGATGCCGCTGCGGGTAAGAGCGAGGTGACGGCGGTGTGGCGTGTAGGTAGGAGGAGCGACGCCGGGGGAGAGGTACATCAGAAACCTGATTTTAATTAGTCCACAGTTTAATTACTCGGCAGATAAATCGTGCACGTGCACCGCATAAACTAGCCGCTTTCATTTTTCCCGGACGCGGCCGGCGCACGGTCGACGCTTAGCTCTACGCCGCGCGAATGCAGGATGGGTCATTGTTGCTGGCTTGCTCTCGTGAAAAGAGAAACGACCGTACCCGTACCGCTTCCGTCATCGAATGATTCGATTATTCCACGCTGCGCTTCCGCGCCGGTTTTTCTTTCATGGGTCGAAGCGTAATGATTATCGTTTACTCGCCAACGATCACCAAGCATTCGCTTTTATGCGAATAAACACGCGGCCGTTTAATGCAGTCGTCCCTTCTTCTGGTTGACTTATTCTCGCAATTGCAAATATAGGCACGAAATCTTTGCAAGCACGTCTTGCAGATCGCACGTCTGTATTTGTATTCATATTTCTTATATTTAGCGCTAAATACGGTAATTCAAATTGCACGCATATTTTTTGTATTTTGATATAAACATAATTACGGAGCAATTAATTATTTAATCTAAATGGAAAAAATTGAATATGAATTGAATAATATTTAGCATTTTTATGATTAACATATAAAGATCAGAAATACACAAGTCAAAAATCAGAAATACAAAAGTTAATAATAATAATGTATAATCTCATTTAACTGTGATAAATTTAATATTCAATCTTATTTAAAAAAAAAATTATTCTACAAGAGTGAAGGAGTGTATTCGCTCTGATGTCAAAACCGTATCGCGGCGCATTTTTATCGCGAGTATGCTTGCACGGATTCCTGATTAGCTCGCGACCTCTAAAGTTCATTAGATTTTATCGTCTCGTAAAATTTACACCTTGTGGATACGTAGCTCGGACTACGATATTCTTAGGGAGGATCGGTAGTATCTTTCGCGTCACAGCAAAGCCACCGCATTGCGTTGCTGCCGCGAGCGAATAGCTGCCTCGCGATAGCGCGCGCGGTAACGGTTTCTCCCATTCTAATTAACATTCCACATATTTATTAAACGGCGGATCCGCAATTAATCAGGTGGATTCAATTAGCGAATTACCAATTAGCACGCACGCGTTCGCACGCTCTCGCGCCGACGCGCAGACGCGAAGTCGAGGCCGCATTGGACGATTGCGAAATAATCATGTATCAGAAATACAACGTTAGGACTTGACTTGCAATCGAGAGTC